TCATTTAAATAACTAATTTACATAAATTTTCTTCGATAATTTTATTTATTGGACGTTATTGAAAAAGTAGTCTAAAGATTAAGAGTAAGGCCTCCGAACTAAAGTCGTGTGTTTGAATTCGGCGATTGAAGATTTAAATTGCATCCTACTTCCATGCAATCGCCCATGAAACATTTTCTGGCCCTTTAAAATTAGTTGTTTTAAGATAGCTTTTCAGCTTAGTAGACTCGACATCAACATAAAAAACATTAAAAGGCTTATACTCACCACGTTAAGCAAACGCTTCGGTGCGAATGAATCAATTCAACATGGGTAAGACAACACACTCACAGACTAGAAGCTTAAAATGGCAGCTTAATGCTTCTGTGTTTCCAAAGATGAGTTTAGGAACTGGAGACCCTTTAAACCAATAGCGAGGTATTCTATCTAAGTCTTCTGTCGTTTTATCTTAATGGAGAGGATAGATGCATATGTCTATGGGCTACAATATCAATTTACCATCAGGTGGACTGTGTGCGCGTTTGTCACCTGTATTCTACAAAAAGTGCTTTGTGCAAACGAGATTAGCTTATATAGAGAAAACGTTGTTATTTTCTCCCTTACGCACTTTATTAGATGATTGGATTCCCTTTGAACTCAACACATCACGGGATTTCCAAACATACTGGCAGCCACGGAAAGCTTAAAGCTTATGACAAACCATCCTCCTTTCTAATAAGAGTACTAGTAAAAAAAAACTTTATTTCTAGTATACCAAAAATAATTCTATATTAGTATTTTTAGTTCGTTTTTGGTTCAAATATAATTAATTACCTTTATCTCTTTTATCTCCAAAATGTTCACTCCAAACTGTGTCACTGTATAGTGTTTTAAAATAATTATGTGTAATTATGTGATATAAGGCATTTAACTTCGTTATTGTTTTCTTTACATATAAATTTCAATCTCTTTTAGGTTTTAGTGTTTTTACTTGTATCTGAAAATTCAAAAGTTTTAGTTGGTGCCATTTAATTCTGTAATAATATAGCAAAATATCACTCTCTTTACATAAACCACAATCAAATTTGCTACCTTTTAGAACGTAATCTCTGTATTTTTGAAACATGTATCGTAAGTTAAAAATTCGCAGCTTGCAGCTAGGGTGGGAAAATAAAACAACAATTCTTCACATTAAATTTATATTAACTGACAGATCTGGAACGAGCACTACTAAACAGTAGGCTAATTATATAATGTAAACAGGGATTTGATATCCAATGGTAAAAATAAATCAAATACAATTATTTGTGCATACTCAGGCATAATTTTTGAATGAGTTTAGCTAACTCCATGCAAGTTTATTCTGTACTATAGGATGTGGAAAACAATACCAACTTGAGGATTTTTACTGTGAATTATACCTAAAGGTTTAATTTGTAACATTACACACAAATAATTGAATTTGAAATCAATATAAGTTGATTGACCTGCAACTTACATTTGGGATGTTCAAAACATGGAGTTCACTTATAAAATCGCATCGCTAGAAATTCGCATCAAAACAAATTATATGATTTGTTCATGTGATGTTGGATGGACAACTATTACGGATTTATTTGTTTATATTTATAAATAATATTTATAACAACATAATATTGAATTAAATTAAAAAAAGCACATGAACATATCAACGCAAAGCAATAAGATTTCGCCGTAGCGGTGTGACAGATCTGTCGTCTATAACTAGAATAAACTATCATCAAGACTTATTCTAAGGATTCTAGGCCGAGTTCAGATGACCGCATTAAAATTTAAAAATACTATTAATTTTTCAGCATTTTTATTCTGATCGTCAAACTACTGGTAACGATATCTTTATTTTTTGAGCTACGATCATATTTGTCATCTGAGCGTCGCCTAAAAATGGTTTTCTTTGCGCTACGCTTATAATAAACAAACATTGTTTAAGCAACCAAAAACAATTTCAAATACATTTCCGCTGCGTAAACCTCAACTTAAGTATGCGAGGGAACAGTATAAAGAAAACAACGTATAATCGCATTCGTCTGTTCCAATTTTACTCAACTCAATGTAACAGAAATCATCTGGTAACTGATATTTAAATTAATACATTAAACAGAAATATAATCATCACAAAAATCTTATCTTGTATCGTTCTTATAGTCTATTGTTATAAACTTCAAATCGCTACATTAAACTTATTATAAAATAAGTCTATCGATGAATACAATAATAGAATATGATAAATAACAAAATTCACCGTTATTTTATATTTACAATAGTTAACATCTAACTGATACTACTACATTGTGTGCTTTAAACAGTATGAGGAGAGACAAATATGTCCATTATAATATATCTGAAAAACGGGCAACCCCGCACACGATGCACTAAGCGCCACTGTTAAATATAGATTTTTATTTTTAACTAAAACGCGAAAGGCAAATTGAGGTATATAGTGACAGTAATGGAGGCTGGCGCTAGCGCAAAGTCGCGGCGTGCCCTCACAACACATCTAACCCTATTACTCGTTACTTGAGGTAGTTAAGTTCCATAATATTATATTGTGTCACCATTACATTATTGCTATGAAGAAAACATTTCTGTTATACAAAACATTTCTCAACAATATAGTAACATTTATTTATACTTTTTAAATGGGTACTTTTAAAAATTCCCAGTTATTTTTCCTTACTCATGAATCATTTATCACTGGTAAAACAGTTTTGTACATGTCAACAAGGAGACATCAGTGTTTATGAATAAATGTAGATAATAATATATGATATGTGCATATTAACTATAGTCGATATGGTTTGGCAAGATATTCTGACATACGCCCGCCATCATCACAGGCTATTTAATCATTGTACCATCAACGATAAGACAATAAATCTGAAATATTAATTACTATTTTATGTAACGATTAAAATATTTAATTAAAATACTTTAAAATATTCGACAGGCTCCTTCAAAGACATTTGCCCTCGATTATTGCTTGTTTCAAATAGTTTTTGTGTATATTTCTTTAAGTGATATAGGCTTAGTCGCCGATGAGGTAGATCAACATTGTTAGTAGTGTAAGTGTAATTCTATATGTATAAAAATATTTCTGCAATATAATCAACATCAAAATACAAATATTATCAAAATTAAGTCGGTACAATGTCCATATTGCACATATATTTCCAGTGATTGTATTTTCGGTACTAACTCCGAGAGACGAACAATGATGCGACCGATCGCGCAACAAAATATTCCATCGGTTATGGTGAGCGGTATGTTTTGACCGCTAGGAATAGTAATACAGAGCAATCATGAAAGAAAGATGTTTTCGAGGAGACTCCGAAAGTCCTTCGCCGCGTCTATTTATTTTACATACCAAATAACATTCTGGAATAAATTGTTACGACTGCACACTGAGACCTTTGATATGTTCCTCAATACTGTAAACTTATCAATCCATTTCATATAAGTATGTACAAATTTATTAATAACGATTCCCTTTTCGTTTGTTTAGTACCTACGTAAATCATGATAATTTCATTAATACTATACAAAAAACATTTACATTATTTTTTTAATTATTGCTAAAGAATTTTATTATCATTAGGCTAAAAATTAAAATTATCGTTTCGCAACAGACAGTTGGCGGAATTAATTTGGCAACGTTCAGGAAGACTACTTTCCTACCACTAACGAAACAGGAATGTATAAAAACTAAATTCGTTCAAATAACGCATTGGTAACTAAGATTGGACATAAATTAGTTTCAATTTTAAGAAAAAATTTCAGAACTTCAAAGGAGTTAACTATCTTATCTTTAAAACAAATGTCAACAGACAAAATAATAATAGGAAGCACCGGTATAATATTAATAAAGTAATAATCAATAAGAGGATTAACATTAGAACAAAAACTTTATAACACTTCCTAGTAGGGGCGGACGTCAGGACATACTAACCTCGTGCCCTTTAACGTTGGCGTGTGGGCACCGTGTTTCAAGTATAATATTATGCTATACACTGTATATGAATACTCGAATAAAAAAGCAACTCAATCGTTCGCGAATATATATCCTTCGCTATTATTTTTAATTCACATTATTATGGGCTAGCCAAATTTATACAACAAATTATTTCCTTACGAAGATAATAAGTAATTCATACGTTAACGGAAATTGGTTTGCTTTGTTTAACGACTTAATGAAAACATTTTGAACTTATGTCGCTCCCTCTTTTTATTTTTGAACTATTAAAATAATTTTAAATTCAAATGACATATTATGCGTTTAAATATTTTCTCCAGCAAAAACATCGATATCGAAAAGAAAATGTAAAATAGAAACAACTCTTCCAAGATACTTTAAACAAAAGTCTGGCAATGTAGTCCCAAATTATATATATTTACATGAATTATTCTAATGGTAAGTAGACTTTAAAATACACACACGTTTCTCTTTAACATCAACAATTCTAGTTACAAGCCAGAAATTCATCTAAAATTAAATCTTTCTACGATTTATAACACATAAATTAAATAAGTTTCAGAGTATACGATAAAGGACAGTCACTTAAGGACCTAAAACGTAATGACCGCCGGTTTATTTTTTATTTCTATTTAAGTAATTATAAGATAATATTTTTATAAAATGTTCTAAATAATATCGCGGTATTTTACTTCAACGTCACGTAATTATATGTTTAGTCCCCAGACACCCAGACACATAAAGTCACCTTGCACCGAACACAAGGTTAGATTGAATGAACAACAAAAAATGAACTGGCTGTCGGAACGCGTGCGCTGAAGTTGAGCAGCGGCTTTATAAGAATAACGTACATAATATAATAAAATATCCTGCAACATACATTGATTGTAATAGAAAATATTCAACTGTTAAGATAATTACACTTTTATTGCATGTTACTATCTGTCAAATGATATGTGAATACGATCATCTACCACAAAAAACGATATGATTACAATTACTTTTGCAAAGTTCACGACGTGGAGGAGGGCGACGTTGACGACACTGATGATGACGATGACCTGAGATTTTTTTTAATGTGAATATCGACATGTTTTACCATGTGATCTTTCCTTATGAATCCTTTACCGCAATGGTCACAGGCGAAAGGTTTACAGCCAGAATGCAAACACATATGTCGACGCAAATCTGTCTTGTGGTTAAAAGACTTCGGGCACTCATTACATTTAAACGGCTTATTGTCTGCATGTTTCATGTAATGACCCTCGTACGAAACATCATCAGAGAAGCGTTTGCCACACCGATCACACTTAAACGGCTTAGCGCCCGAGTGAAAAGTTTTATTGTGTTGTGTGAGATAACACGCCTTGTTAAATAACTTATCACATTCGTAGCATTTATGCACGGTGGTCGGTGCGGTTTTCTTCAACTGATTCCGCTCGGTGAGCGGTGTACTCGTCACCGTTGAAGATATAGAGGGTGACCCTTGACTTTCGTTCTCAGCCTTTGCACTCTCCGGACTTGCAGGCGATTTCATTTGTGCGCCATAGTTTTCTTTATTAGCATAATCCATAATGTCCTCTATTTTTAAAATTTGAAGTTCACTAGCATCAGTTCGTAGAACGTCGTCCTCCCGCTTTATCGTTTTCCCACCTACCACGTAGCCGTAAGGGTAAACCTTAATATTTTCTGGACTGTAGCCAAGCATGTTTTCTTTTACTGTCCTTGGTGAAAAGCTATAATCAAATTCCATGCTTTGTCCACAAATGTCAATGTTGTTATACTGTATCGGCGAGTGGACCGGATCTACGATGATATAACCAGCGGCCGACTCATCAGAAACAACTTGACCCCCCACGTTAGGCTGTGTGACATAGTTAGAAACATAAACGCTGAAACTCTGAGTCTGCAGTTGCGCAAAACTTGGCAAGCGTCCACCCGCAGGTGTTTTCAACGTTTCTTGTTCCATAACTTCGGCTTCTTCAGGTGTGGTTTCACCAAAAGTAGCCGGATTGGCTATAGGCAGATTGTTGATAGCCATATCCATAACGTGGGGGGCCATCCCGTTTGGGTAACTCGGTGCTATAGTCTGCTGAAAATTCTGACCCAAATATAAGGGGGTGTGGGTGGGATCCGGCACTGAAGGACCCAAAGGATCCGTAGACCTCGGGCTGTACGGGTTGACACCCAAATGACTGAACGGTGGCAACGTGTGGGCTGTAAGCCCCGGTGTACTCTGTGTTAGTACTGGAGTTGAAATATTGCTGGTTGACACTGATAGCAGGCCCCTCATATGGTGATTTTGAGAAACAGAGGGACCTGCTTCCCCGTTTGGGGGATTCCCCGATGAAGATATAGGGACACTTTTTGACCCTGGATGATTATTATCATTTGGATTACCTATACCTGGCGGCTGATTTCCCATATTAATGGGATGTGACCCAACCTGATGCTGTAATGGATGATTAGCTAATGGATTATTACTGAAATTATTATCTAAATTACCCTGTTGAAGATGTGTATACGGTGACTTAGATTGCATTGTTGCAACACGGTGACTGCGCTCGAAGTTTTGTGATGCATACGGCGATTGTAACACTGCTTCGTCGACGCTGCGGCTGTCGTCGGAAGGAACTGGGCTTTGTGTATTCGAGTCGGCACTCTGCTGTTGTGCTCGTGCTTGAAGTGCATCACGACTAGGATGATGATGGCTTGAAATTGGCATTGTAGCTGGGTCTGGTTGACCAGATGATCTAACGGCATTTTTATGAAGCGTTGTATTGTAATGCCTTTTAAGGTGTCCAGAACTTGTAAACCATTTGTTACATGCTGTGCAATTATAAGTTTTTGGCCTTCTCGCTTCGTTTGACTTCCAATTAGCACCCTTTCCTCCAATAGAGGGTAATGCGGAAGAGGTAGGATTGGTTGGCTGTGTGCTTGTAATTTGTGGTACAGTGGGTGAATCATATGGACGGTAAGGCGGTTTCATGTCTGAGTTAGATGAGGCAACTTGTCCTGGATATTCAGGTAAAGGTGGTATTTGTACACCGGGATATATTTTTTGTTCAACGTGCAAAAATGGTTTTTGATCGTGATGAACGCTGAGAAATTTATCTTGAACATAAGGAAACTTTTGATCGGGATGGAACATCTTTGTATCGGCCGCATAAGCTTTTTGCTCTGCAAACATTTTTTGATCTTTAAAAAGTGATACATCACCATTTATCTGTGGATTGTTATATAGTTTCTGAGTTTCCCATGGCATCATTGGAACCGTACGAGTGTTGACCTCCCTTCCTTGAGATGCGACTTCATCGTATGCTGCGTTCGGTTGTTCACCTTCATTTCCTTGATAAACTACTTTTTGAGAGTCTAAGTCTAAAATATCAGATGACTCTTCATGTTCTTCTTTTACTTTAACATTTTCATTTGGATATCCTGAATTATTAAACTGTTTTATAGGAAATTGTTGAAATGGAAGAGACCCTGATATCGGAGCAGAACTTGAACTTGCGTGAGCTGAACTACAGTGTTCATTAAGTTGGACGGCGGAATCACACACAAAACCGCATTTATCGCACTGATTAGGTGAAGGTGACGGCGTAGGTTGGTTTAAAGGCTGTCCGTATAATGGACTTGAAGATGAAACTTGTGCAACTCTTTCTTGCATATTATAAGGATGAAAGCGACTCGGTTTGTGGTATTCTTGATTATATTGTGACTGTTCCCATGATATTTGTTCTGAATGTTGATTTTGGGAAAAATTAGTATGAGCGTAATTATTACCAAATTGTGTCCCAGGCGAGAAGTTGGTTTGATCTGGATTCTGGTATGGTGAAGGAGCACTGTGATAACTTTGCGGTGTTGCTGGATGTTGAAACTGCGTTGAAGTTTCCGGCGTCGCTCGCTGCTGGAACTCAGGACTTGGTTTAGTAATCATATTGTCACTGGAGTCGGCTGGCGCAGATACTGTTGTCTCACTTTTCAGTTTAGTGCCGTTATTATTGTCCGTATCATTCTGAGAATTTTGCGTACCCCATTTCACATATAAGTTTTCTTTATGATATTGCAAGTGTACCTCTAAAGAATCGACAGTGTCCAAATATAGATCGCAAACTTTGCAATGATATTCTCTTGATGGTAAAGTCGAAGACACAGCGCTACTGTTAGCCATTTAAACCATTAAATAAAGGGAGAACACCGTCTCCTCCAACGAAAAAAAAATAATAAAAAAACCACAGTCCTTGTTTCGAGTCGCATGTAGTCGAGACATAAATCAGGTGCTACACTTTGGAACTAGAGTCATGGTCGCGATTGCGCCTCCCTCACAATCTCTCTTACAATAGCGCGATGTTTACGAACAAAGTTTTTGGCGGCATTGCAATGCGGGCGGGCGGCTACAAGCGGCCACGTGCGCGTAGTAAACACTGTTGACCCGCGATACGACGCTGCACTTCTAATTCTTCGTAACTTATGCGAATAACTATCTGTGTCCGGTGTTTACTCACGGTCATTCACAATAAACTTCACTTTTATTACTCATTAACAATAGTTCCTTTTTTATTGTCCATGTTAACTTATTGTCATGTAGCGATAAAAATTATGAAAGAAACAAAGTTTGTAATAAACTAAAATCACAGGGGGAGTTTAATGTTATCTACTTGGCACTTGTTTACGCACGCGGAGGCGCGATGCGTTCTACAATTGTAAAGGTGGTATAGAAGCGACACGGGTCAGTCGCCGAGTACGGACGCTTCGAACGTTTACTAGCAACTGACAGCCTTCCCGAAGTCGCCTTCGGGGGCATGACTTCAATAACAATTCGCAACGTCGTCCCCCACCGATACGTAAGTGCGAGCGAGAGCAGCGCGCGGTGATGAAGTTATCGCTCCTACGTCCTTTTGTTAGTCCTTGGCGCGAGCGAGACACGTTTGGCAATCTGAGGGGGGATGAAGTGGTGCTGCGCGGGACGGGCCCTACTCTTTCTTAAAATTGAAATGCCCGGTCGAAATGTCCGGTGATGCTGCGTCCGAGTGGGATGGCGATAGCACCCACCCTTACGATGCGGGCGGACCGACCCTACGACGAAATTTTCTAAATTTTAAATCACATTTTAAATAATCGTAAGGATGAAGTATTAATATAAAACATCACTCCTTTTTTTAATGTTATATAATAAGCCTATAATGTTACGCAGTTGACATGCTATTTCCAAATTAATAGCTATCATATAGCAAAAATATGATAGATAATATATATTATATTAATTACAGCACAATTTTAAACAGCCAAAAACTATAATGAAATCAGAATTATGAAAGAAGGTTATTATTTCGGTTATTAAAGGTTATTTAAAGAAACGATAAGCATATTCGATATGGCATTTAAACAAAAAGCTCTAGACTCAGTCAGTTCTTTAATTATTTCATATCATTAGTAAAAAAATAACTCTTTAACAAAAATTAAAACTGTTTTTCTCTCAAGCAAATTCGTTATTTATTCACATAACAATAAAGTCAAATATTTCAAAATAAATGATTACGGCAATTAGTGAATTGGGATAATCGTGGACAAATACATAGCTCACAACCCGAAAATCTTTGAGACCGTATGTGCGAAATGACAAAACAGTGTTAAAAATATATAATAGACAAAAAGTTATACCTAATTTGATCTCAAAACAAAGATTATTCGGCATGTTTCATAAATTGCGCGTTCTTTTCCTATAATATAAAAGGTCAAAGAAACATCCAACCGGACAGGCCATGCAAACTATGAGGGGTGGAAAATCGATTTTCTCGGACTATGCCGATCGCTTCAACGTCCGCGCTCCCCTCACCACTTTACATTCGTTCCCTCAATTTCCTAATATTATCTAGTCCCGTAAATTTTTTTCAAACATTTCATCGAAGTTTAATTCACGTAAAATCTAACCATAGGCAACATATTTTGACTATACTGATTACAGTATATTTAATCATTTAAAAGTATGTACACAGCATCTGTGTTTGTTTTACATTTCTACTATAAAATAATTTGTTTACTTTACTTTTTTACTTACTGCTTTTATGTACATATGTGTACGTAATATATTACTAGACATAAAAGTAAAAAGTCTTTTTAAAACGAAAGAATGATTTTTATAACAGACTAAAGAAAATTGTACCTACAGATTAAAAATAATGACAATAACATTTTATTGAAAACATTCTTACAATAAGAAGTTACTGGCTTGAATTACAAGTAACTATAAAACTTTACAGGTTGAAGGCGGTAGTCTCAACAAAATAAAACTTTGTAGCCTTATGGTACAGATAATAAAGTTAATCTGTTATTACACAAAATGTATATAAAATTTTAAATTAATTAATTCTTATCATTATTTTAAATAAAGTAACAAACATAAATCGGTATGGTACTGATTAGTTTTGGTTCTTCAAAAGATTACCATGAGAGTTCTATTTAACACAACATCTAAAATGTGACCTAATAACAGAGCGTTAATCCCCGCGCTGAGAATCATTCATGATATTTTACGAGACGCGAGCTGTACACACCCCGTCTAACAAACAATGTTCAAGTTTCACAACTCTTGACCACTTTCGCACATCATACAATTCATAATTGATAGGCAATATTGTAAACTACATATTTCTTTTTTTTTTTGCTTAAAATCTAGTGGGAAATGAACTTACAGGTCCCTCTCCATAAGTGGCTACTGCAGTCCATGGACACCAGCAGACAACAAACAAGCAAATATTAATCAATCATATGCATTAAGTATATTATATAATTAATTATAAGATCGAAACAATGTTTGTTATTGAATTACTTATTTTTTATTACCTTATTTAATCATCAAATTCGTGGAAATTCACCAGCTATATCTACGATGTAGGTATACTTAACACATATATTATGTGTGTGCATGCACAGGGAGTATTTTATAGCTGGCGGATTTCGACTAAAAACTCCACAACCATTATAGTACGTATTAAACTAATTCACTTATAAAATACTTTATGAAAATATTTATTTACTGCCGTGTTTTATTGGCCCCGGAATATGTACATTTTGGAATAAATGTTATTTAAATTTTAAACTATATTAAAGCGGATAGTGGTCATAAGAAACATTATTCAAAGTACTTGGAATTACTTTAAGCTCAATGTAAAAAGTACATATTTTAACACCTGAACGGAAATAATGTAAAACTAAGAATAAAGCAAACATTTTGCAATTTTAAAGCCGGGTTTTTAAGCTTCTTATTACAGTGAATTTTAGAACAATAGTTCCTTTCTTGGCGGCTAGAAAAGCTTATCAGTCTGAAGAACAAAGCTAATTGTACTAGTCAAAGTGTTATAAAGAATTGTTTATGGCTTTTTACTTTGTAATCGCTTGGCTGCAATTAAATAATAGTAGTATAGTTTAAAATTTGCTGGTTCAAGAAATAAATTACTACAATTGTTTATGCCGACGCCCTTCGTCTTACAACTTAACATAGCTCACTATGACTTATCATAAAAGCAAAATTCAGTTTTTATTTTTTTTTTCCTTGGGTATAATTTTATGTAAAAATTTTACTTTAAATTATAATTAGGTATGTGATGAATGTTATTTATTTTCAATATATAATTCAAAAACTTTAATTTTTTTTAATAATAATAATAAATAACAAAAAAAAAATATTGTCAAGTCATTAGATTATAAAATTGAGATACGCACTAGGTATTGGGAGATGTTACCTATATACGAGTATTATTGTATAAATTTTTTGTAAAAGTTTTTAAATTGTTTATTTCCTCCTATGCTAATTTCCTAAGGTTCCCTCTGTTAAATAAATTATCTACCATTTTTCTAAAATTTAAATGTTCATCGTAATATAGTTATTAATATAACAAACTCTGTAAGACTTAAAGAAGAAAGATAAAAACAGTCTTTATAGCGTGGCTTTCGCATTGCATAAAGCAGGTGAGAGCAGAAAAGACTTCACGTGTAGTTAGGTAGGTATTCTATATTTTTTTTTTAGTTTCTCAGACATTGAGATATATATATATATATACATATATATATATATTTATAGAACAAAACATGGTAAAACAGCTTTTGAAATAACAATTAATAATTTCTTTTAGAACTTCAGTTGCTTGCGTAATTTGAAATTTACCGCAAACGTAATGATTTCTTATATATACACGAACACTACACATTGAAAAAACTACTTTTACGGATTTTATCGCGTTTAATTAACTTATTTTTATTAATTCCCGACATTTCGGGTGCTTTACAGCACCCGTGGTCACGGGGGACTGAGGTGATTGACGTCCCGATGTCAGAGTTAACCCGGAGTACCTTCAGCTTTTTTAATTATTAGTTTTGGTCAGATCTACGCAGAATGAACTTACTGTGTCTTGAAGTCTTGCAGTATTATGCTTGGATTTAGTTTTAAGGCAACACATCGAAAACCGTTGAAGCGGGCTATCGCCGGACTGACCCGAGTGGAGCATAATTTCTATAAAAACTTCAAAGACGCCGTCATAAGGTCTAAAATTGCGTAGCGTCCGCGACGATTCAGATCGCTCAGTAATCGCTTAGAATCTTAAAATATTTTTAAAAAATTATTGATTTTACTAATCAAAATAATGAGCAAATAAATTACGAATATTGATGTTATGAATGTATTTGAGTGACTCCCAAGCATATAGATTAAGTAATTTCGTTGTAATTTCAACTACAGTGATTTTTTGGAGGTGTTTTCGCAAATAATTATGATCGAGTCAAAATTTTACAATCGTGTTTTTGAACAAGCAAATTCAAGATGAAGACATGAATTTACCTATATCAAAATTCCAGTTTCGGTAGTCGTGTCATACTCCTATACTATTCGATGAAAGAAGGTGCATTTTTTCGCGGTGTCGCCTTAATTTTAGTAATTACAGAATCCCAAGCAGGTGGTAGTACCCAGCCTCCCTCTCTACTGAAATTACGATGTTTTTTGATTTCAATAGCCTCACGTATCATCCTTGGCAGGAATCGATATTCTTTTGCGAGAATTTGTGGTTTATCAAATCTAATGTAATGGCAGGGGCCATCTAGGATATGATCACAAACTGCAGGCTTCCCGGAACGTTGGTGCTTCACTTTGCCCTATATATGAGAGACCACATTCACAAT